TAATTGAAAAATAAGTTGAAACACTGAAAATATTAGAAAGGTCTACTATTTTTCTAAAAGTGTGTTAAACAAAGGTGTTTTTTTTTCCTTTTTTCCCCGCTTGGATAGGATCAGTTTCTCAGAGCTGCCCCTGTTAGTGGAGGAATGGGAGCCCAACTCATGAGAAAGATGGGATGGAGAGAAGGAGAGGGCTTGGGAAAAAACAAAGAAGGAAACAGGGAGCCAATTTTAGTTGATTTTAAAACGGATCGGAAAGGTGAGTGTCCAGTCTACAATTCTAATATGAACAGTCAACTGCTCTTTGACACAATTATCTTGACTTTTCTAAAACCCATCCAGGAGAATGGCATACAAATTTCCCGGAGTCCTTCGGGATTGGGCGGTATATAAATTTTATAAATAATAAATAATAATAATAAAGATTTGCCTGGGGAGCACACAGAAAAAAAAAATCCTGCCTTCTGTCCCCAGTTCTTACATTGGGGTAGGAGAACTTCATAATCTCTCAGGAAGCATGAACTGGATGGATTGGCTGAACCCAGTTTGAGAGTGCATACATTACAATCCATTAAAAGCTCATGTAGGTTACAGTTAGTGTCCTAAACTGTATTAAGTAGTTTGCTGACAATTACTGAGGTGCCTACAGCATCCTTGGTATGTGAGACCAAAGATTCTTGCCTGCTCGAAGATAGACTGCTACATTTGTGTGTCTGACCAGAAACCTAAGATTTACAGAAATGTAAAATTTTATTTTAGCTATCATTACTATATGTAGAAAAATACTCTGCTAATTTTATGACTTTACAAATGTATACATTTTTCTATGCTTTCTATGTTTACATTTTTATATTTCTAGTAATCTCACAATGTGCTTATGTGGTGTTAGACCATACTCTACGTGCCTAGAGTACAAAAAAATTCTGCTTCAAGCAGAACAATCAGTGTGCCTTGCTTAACCTCCTGGCCCAAATGCTAATGGAATATTCAAGTCACTGATCCATTTGCAGGCCAACAGAATGTGGGTGATTTGGATTCCAAGAGTGTGCTATTCCACAGGGCAGACTCAGGAACAAGGTACAACTCCTAGATCCTGCAGGATAATCCTGTTGAATAGATGGGTCTTGGAGCAATTCTGTTACTTTTAGTGGGGAAAGCAAAGACAATTGGAGATAAGAAATAAGAAATATTTAACTGGCCCTCAACTGTGTAGGATTTATAAGTGATGTATGTTATGATCCCAATAATTTTATTCATAAAGTACAATGACACATTGGTACTCATCTGCGTTGAAACTCATCAAATGTGGTATTCAATGCATGTTGACATGAAAGTTTGCCCCGATACTCTTTGTTTGGTACTCAACACATAATAGCACTTAGACTTATATACGTTTCGCAGTGCTTTACAGCCCCTCTAACTGGTTTACAGAGTCAGCATATTTTTCCCAACAATCTGGGTCCTTGTTTTGCCAACCTTGGAAGGCTGAGTCAACCTTGAGCCAGTGAGACTAGAACTGCTGGGAGCTGAGTCATCAGAAGTAGCTTGCAGTACATTCTAACCACTGCACCACAATGGCTCTAGAACTTGTTGGCTCCAGAACTTGTTGGCTCCCTTCTGACACACTACATTATTCCTTAGTTGAGACATTTTTTTGGTGCTTATTTTTGGTACTCATCCTGCCTCCTGGAACCAATTAATGAGTAGCAAGGTACCAATGTAATTTCATAATTTAGTTAATTTTCAATTTTTTGGTTTTGGTTTGTCATATTTTATTTATTAAAAATCTAAGCTGCCATTGGAATACTAAATATTCAGATAATAAATATCTTTTGAGTATACATATGTAAGTATATATGCACAAATAGTATTTTGAGCATAAGAGTTTTGGAAGCAGAAGATACATTAAATATACCAGTTATTTTTTGTTAACATTGTCTGCACTCTGACGTGGTATAGATGTTAACCAGATGAATGAAAGTAGATTCCCGAAAAGGAATCTCTTGAGCTACACAGGTCATGTAAGAATGCCTCCACCTGTTTATTAGACCCATGCCCCTCCTGGCTGGCTTCGACCAGCAGAGAGGTGACACGAGGCTGGCTCCAGACGATTATCAATGCATCTTTGCAGGAGGGGTTTTTCCCGCAACCATTAAAGGAAGCAGTGGTGAGACCCCTTCTCAAGAAGCCTTCCCTGGACCCAGCAGTTTTGAAAAACTATTGTCCCGTCTCCAACCTTCCTTTTTTACGGAAGGTTGTTGAGAAGGTGGTGGCGCTTCAACTCCGACGGACCTTGAAAGAAATGGATTATCTAGACTCCTGTCAATCTGGTTTCAGGCCCGGATACAGCACGGAAACTGCTTTGGTCGCCCTGACCGATGGTCTCTGGTGGGCTAGGGATAGAGGACATTCCTCTATCCTGGTGTTGTTGACCTCAGCGGCTTTCGATACCATCAACCATGGTATCCTTCTGCGACGCCTGGGGGAGGTGGGAGTGAGAGGCATCATATTACGGTGGTTCTCTTACCTCTCTGACAGGTCGCAGTCGGTGTTGGTCGGGGGCAGAGGTCGACCCCTAGGCCCCTCGAGTGTGGTGTGCCGCAGGGTTCGGTCCTGTCCTCCCTCCTATTTAACATCTACATGAAGCCGCTGGGTGAGATCATGCGACAGCACGGGGTAAAGTATCATCAATATGCTGATGATACTCTACATGGGGCTACCCTTGAAAAGCGTTCGGAGACTGCAGTTAGTTCAGAATGCGGCCGCGCGGGTGATAGTGGGTGTGCCAAGGTACACCCACGTTACATCTATCCTCCGTGAGCTGCACTGGCTGCCTATTGGTCTCTGGACTCAATTCAAGGTGTTGGTTATCACCTTTAAAGCCCTACATGGCTTAGGGCCAAGATACCTTCGAGACCGCCTGCTGACACATACCTCCCAGCGACCAGTAAGATCCCATAGATTGGGCCTCCTTCGGGTGCTGTTGACCATACAATGTCGGCTGGCAGGCCCTTGGAGGAGAGCCTTCACGGCTGCTCCAACTCTTTGGAACCAGCTCCCCCCGGAAATCCAGACCATACCCACTCTGATGCCCTTCAGGAAAGCTGTAAAAACTTGGCTGTTCCAGCAGGCCTGGCGCTGTTGACCTCACTATTGAGGTCCGGCCCCGACTAGAATGAATTTATGATGGATCATTGTTGTTTTAAATTGTATTGTTTTTATGTTTTTTATATTCTGTTTGTAAGCCGCCCGGAGTCCTTTGGGATTGGGCGGGATATAAAAGTTTTAAATAAATAAATAAACTATGGATAATTGTTAATGAATTACAAGCTGAATGGAAATTAAAATTACTTGCATATAAGAAAAAACGGTTAAGGCATTGTATTATGGTGATTTGAGTTTATTGGTCAAACTAGTGTGGGTGATGATTGGAGATGGCATTTTTCTTTTTGCAAGTATTAGTGTTTCTCCATTGACACTTGTTGGTTTAAAAGGTATGGTCCTAATATAGAAATGTTACTAAATACCAAGTGCATTAGGAAAGAAATGAGCACACAACAAATTTAATTCTCTCTTTTTTTTAAAAGGCTTAGTTGCTGTGGGAGAGAAAACACAAAAGAGACATGGGCCTTTTAGTACAGGGAAAGATCTTTCAGGTAAGACTTGGGATAACATATCTGTTTTGCATTTGAGGAGAGAAATGGTTTCAACAGTTCTGTTTAGAGTAAAAAAAATATGTTTGTATAAAAATATAGCAGTTTTCCTTGTGTACATGGAAGATTTTTAAAAATGTTTTTTCTTGTTAAGGCAAACATCCAGTATCAGCTTTGCTGGAAGTCTGTAATAAAAGAAGATGGTCTCCGCCTGTATTTGTACTGGTGAATGATAATCGTCCTGAATATCGCAAACATTTCCTGTTTAAGGTAAATTTTAATTATAACATATATAAAAATGCTTTTGTAATACATGAAAGGCGGAATACAATAAGGGGTCCTTTCACATGTATGTCTACTTTTGTGGTGTTAGAATTTGGTGAGCCCCTTTACAACTTTCTAATTTGAGAGTATTATTTCTTTGATTTGCCATTCACTGGGTGCAGAAAGAAAGAATGTGGTCATAATATAGAATAATTGCCCTAAGTTACCTCAGCAACTCAGCAAGAAATAATCCTTAGCTGTTTATCTTCTCTTTCATTTTTCAAACTAGGATAAAGTGAAAAATATATACATAGAGACACCTGATAGGTAGAATTTTGCCATCTAAATAAAGGTTTTGGTCTAAGGGCTCCTTCCTGATTGAAGAAAACTTTTCAAACGAAGTCATTGTTCCAGTGAAAACTCTTGGATTTAACCCAACAAAAGCATGCTTATTGCTTCAGAGCTGTTAATTTTTATTTAATTTGTGTGGCCAATCTTTGAGCCTCAAAAATAAAACTGCATTTTCTTTTCTTCCAGAATATGCCATAAATTTGTAGATGACATCTACAGAATAGGGTGGCATTCCTACATTTTTTTAACAATAAAAAAGGGGAAGAACAATATATTCAGCTTTGAAAGTATTATTTTCTTCCTTTCTTTGTTGCTTCATAGGTGATGGTCAATGGAGTTGAACATAAACCTACTTTTGTCAGTCCAAACAAGAAGCATGCTAAAGCCACAGCAGCCACTGTGGCTCTCCAAGCATTGGGACTAGTACCAAAGGAGCTCTTGGCAAACACCACTAACTTCAGGAGTGCCTCACACAACTAAACTATTGTTTTTAACATTTCAAACATTTCTATTCTGTATAACAGGTATTTCGTTCTGCTTTTGTAAATACATCAGCATCTCATTGTAAAAACTGTACAGACACCTTCAGGCTTTTCTTTTGTACCTGCAAATATATTTAATTCATTTAGTTATGTATATTATTGATCTCAGTCATGCCACCATTTCTTAATTACTAAACATCTAATGTGAGTCTGAAAGTATCTGTAATTTGCTTAACGTTTTAGCTTTATCTTCAATATAAAGTAGTTTACAGTTTTGTAGCACAATGCAGTTCCCATAGTTTTGGAAAAGTTCAGTTATGCTTATTTAAAACTATGTAGTCTTTTAAGCCTACAACTATCAGATAATTATTGGACCCAAAAGTTCAATAGTTTTTAATCAAAGCAAAATCCAACAACTTTGCTAGATAATGTTATCCATTATTTCTCTATCAGAATGTCATATGAAAATGATTGTATAAGAACAATACATACAAATGCAAAGGGAACGTAAATCAGAACTCATGAGAATTGCAACATGAAATGTCTGCATGTTTTCGTAAAAGCAGGAAATTGTAATTAATTTCATATACAATACCTGGTGTTGATTATACACATTTGTAGTAAGCAAATAATTCAGCGATAATTGGATGAGGATGTATGATGCTATTGTTGTTGTATTCCGCTTGGTCAAATAAAGCTGTATAACTTCATTTTATTCACCAGCCACTTAAACAGAATATTATAACGTACATTTTGATCACTGAAACAAAAGTCATTAGTAGTGATTTGAAATTGTTATAATATGAAATACAAAAACTAAGTAATTTAGGCTATATAATTTAATAGGTTTTTTAAAACCTAAAGAATCATATTATTGATGTATTTGGATTGGGAATATTTCCAAGGACAGAGCAAGTTGGAACTATTTTCTAGTTGACCTTTAATTAAAGGTTGATATTATATGGCAGAAGGTGAAATCATGTCTATATTTATCACCATATGTCAATCAGCCAAAGATTAGTTTCCCACTCAAAATGAAGAGATTTAAATGCTACATCCCCCAAGTAATTCTGAATCAGTACACAACCATTAGCAACAGAATTATTGTGTAGTTTTTTCTAGTTGAGAACCTGGATTCCTTCATAGGGAGTGAGTCTGACCATGAACATACATAAAATAAATGATCCAGTTCAGTCTACCTCTGAACTGCAAATATTAGGAATACTTTAACTTCAGTCCATATTCATAACATGCCTTGCTTATTTGGACATTCATCCTAGTTTACAGAAAAAAATCTGTTTTGTTCACAGCTCATTCAAGATACTGCAAGAATATGTAACAACTAAAAATGTATTTTTTAAACCCTTTCCATCCAAAAGATTTTTGGCAGTACTGCCTAAAATATGAAATTATCATTTTTACTATGTTTCATTTTTGAAATAATGCTGCAAGCTGTGGTGCCTTTCTAGTCCATTTAATAGTAGCCATTTACTGAAGGGTAATCTGGTTAAAACTATTAGTATAACGCAGTATAGATGCTCTGAAGAAGGCCTCAGCATTTGTATTAAGAAGTGTGACATATATAATAAAGGAAAAAGCCATGGACAGTAGAAGGGAGTATTGCAACATTTTTTCCTCACCCAGCTGTCTTCGTTAGATCCACACAATTACATCAAATTCTTAAAATTTAATTTAAAATGTATACTTCAGATGTTACAAGTTTAAGAAAAACAACAAAGCGGTTACATAAGGACTATATACAAAAGTCTATTAATGAATAAAATTGATCATTGTGCACAAGGAAGTGTTCTTGATAGGCCATTTTAAATTATCATCTAGTTGCTTAGGTTTTCCATGTGTAGAGATAATCACTCATGTCTAGGAGCCGTATTGAAGATTTTCCTAGTGTTGAATTATGAGTAAGTTGACTTAAAGTGTTAGGATGCAATCCACAATTGGAAAGTTCTTTGATACAAGATTCCTGTGAAAAATGGAATAAACAAAACAACAATGGAATAAACAAAAAAGACAGTCTGTTCAAAAGTCAGATATTAGAAAAGTTTATACTGTAGTACAATGAAAAATAAGGCAATCCCCAAGCTGTGGCTTTATATTGAAAATATACAAATCAGTGGGGAAAATATCAATTCTTATAATAATATATTCGTCCAAATGAAGTATTTCCTTTTATTCACAACCAGCTATATTGTCGGTTTGGTGTACTGACAGTATAGTTTTTCCTCTGCCTGTCCTGCAGTGAATAAATTGAATTGTAGCTCTTCTAACTACATGAGGGAAACTTATTAACATGTTATTTACTAGTTGTATTTTTGGGCAACTCATAAGTGTGTCATCCCACCCCACCCCCCACCCCGGGATAAATGCATTTATTAGTTTACCTTCATATGCTGCTTGTCACTGATACCTGTGTTAAACACAGCTGTTGGTTCATGAGTATAACATGTAGCTGAGAAAGTTCCATTTTGAGCAGATTTCAGTAACATGGACAAAGAATGGAGACAATGGGGCATAATAGGGCCCACAATCTCCAAACTAAATAGATCTTTATAATGTGAATGGACTTGTGTTCTCACATTTATACTTCGGGCCTAGGAAAGAGGAAGAAAAAAATGCTTAATTGCAATTTATACATGCTCCTATTACCAAAGGAGAGTTACCCTGGGCAATTGATATTTGAGATTTATTGTTAAAAAGCTCTGTGCTCAGAGATGGTTGACTAAGCCAGGCAAGGTTACTAGCTACACCAAAATTAGCAGCGGTCTAAATCTGAGCATACCAATTAATGTGGATGAGCAATAGTAGGAAACAGTATAAGCCAAGTCACCAAGCAACTACAGTCCAGTCCCTCTTCAAGAAATGGGTGGTTCAAAAATGTGAAAAATAAATACATTTACATATCAGGTCTACATCTTCCAATTGGTGCTAGAAAACATAGTTCCTTTTAAATTCTAAAAACCCTGCAATTTTATATAAATTGTAGGTGTTTGAATAAACACAGATAATTTCAGTAACTGTTTGAAACAAATTGCCAAGTGAGTAGAGGACAACTTTCTAAAATAATGGTGATTCTTGCTTAATGATGGTAATTGGGGCTGGCAACTCAGTTGCTGGTCATAAAGCGAAAAAAACCACGACCACTGAGTTATGATGGCAGTTTCAGCAATTCCAATTGCCATCATTAAACAAGCATGTTACAGGTTCAGCTGTCTGCCCAAATTCCGCAGAAAAGAAAACCCCTTTTTGGAGCAAACCTCATCAACTGCCAGGGAAGCTAAGAGAGGGAGAACAAAACGGCTGCCCCCATGCATCCTGTTGCCAGAGTAGTGGGGAGGAAGGGTTGGGGCATGAATCCCAATCCAGATGGGCCCAAGGGCAGGGCAGGAGGCTGCCCGCCAGTTCTTCCTAAGCCCAATTGCATAGATGGCTAGCAAGTGTCTGGCAGCTCTGTGCAATACTTTCCAGACTGACCCGACACTGAAAGACTTGTGCACTTGTTAGAAATACTCCAAGCCACTTTCCCACAGCAACAAGCTTAATTTCAGGCAGGGTCTTGGGATGGCAGCATGTAAGGAAGCAAGAGTGATGAGGCAGGATGGTGATGCCCCTACCCTCACGGATCTCCCTCTACTACCTTTTAATCCTCTGCTGCTTCGTTTGGACCATCAGCAGTTTGACAATGAAAAAGAAGGGCAACTGGAAAAAGAAGGACAGCCTGGACATTTCCAAAGGCTTGCAGCTTCCTGCCAGCTTTCCTATAGATTTTGTGGTAAGCCGGCAGGCAAAGTTGCTTGTGACAATCATGTGACTGCAGGGCACTGCCATATTGTGAAGGCTGATCGCCAAACACCCAAATTGTAACCATAGGACCGTAGTGGTGCTGCAAGGGCTACAACTTTGAAGACTGCTTGTAAATTCAACTTGTTCAGCAATGTTGTAACTTCAAACAGTTGCTGAACGAATGATTGTTAAGGAAGGAGCCCCTATATAAATTACTTTCTTATCTTGAATTAAGAACTGGAAAAGAGACAGTCTTGTAGCTGAATAGAGCAAAATGTGTATCAGGAGCAATGTTATTCTATTATTATAATGTATGCTTTCTAAGAGTTATGTTTAATTATTTGGATCCTGCATTTTCCTATGCCAGGGCTTTCAGAGAGGGCATTTTACAAAACAGTTTGGAGAAAACCAGTATTTGGCTACTCTTCTGTTTAGTCCCTTCTGCTCCCTCTTACATAATTCTGAAAGGTCTCTCAGCTAATCTAAGCAGATTTTCAGATAGTGAATGGGATAGCAGAGAAAGAGTTATTAATTGGTGAGAATCAGCTTTATCCCTTATTTTTGCCAGAATAAATGTTCATCCAGAAGCTTCTGGTAAGTGATAGATACATCACTCACCTATCCTAACTTAACTTCCTTCTCCAAAATTGGACAGTGTATACTTTATCACAGTATTTAGAATAGATTATAGTGTACAACATATAATAAGATCTCATAATTTATTACCTTGAGTGTCTGCATTGTTGCGCCTCTAAAAACAACTGGGGACAGCAATGTTGGAGGGATGCCAGCTTGAGGTCCTGCAGAAGCCACTAAACTTTTACAATTTATCAAGAAGTTCAACAAAGTGAATGTATTTGTCCCTTTTACTAACACTGCAGATTCAGGCCTGTGATCCAATTTTATCTCATTTTTTTCTTTGCAGCTACATAGACAGTTAAGGAAGATGCACGCATACATAGTAATTGTAGATTAATATGAACTTATCTGTTGGGAAAGATTATAATAAGCCAAATAAATGTTATTTAAATATGCTTTTATTATCTTTGCAAACTTGGAAAAGTGTAAGGAGGCTTGCAAGGATAATAAAACCAAAGCTTAATATTATATAGGAGAATTCCAAATATTTCTGCAAACTAAAAGTAAAGATTTTCATAGAAATAGTTGCAATATTTAAATATACTATTTAACATATATAGTTCAAAGCTTTCCAGAAAAAAATATTTTACTATTGAAAAACTAACATGTCATGAATTCCCATAAATTGAGAAAATCAAGAAAGAAAAAATGGGACAACTATGACACAGAATCTCAGGTTCTAAGGGAAAAGGTGGAAGAAGGAAATTTCTAAATAAACAAACACCCAGATACTAGCCACAACTGAAAAATGATCACTGCCATTTTGACTACCTGAGCAACAGCTATTACAATATTTCTATATACAGATCCTAATATTACCTAGACTGCATATAATACAATGCAAATTCAACTATTGATTAAAGGAAAATGTTTTAACTCTTAAAAGGATACAATTTGGTAGAAATTGTGTCTGGTTTTTTAATTTTGTCTTCAATTCCCATTTCCACCAGCCATAAAATTCCATCATCATCGTCGTCATCACTGCCATCACCACCACTCATTTCCAATTCTCTGAGTAGCAAAACATAGAAGAACTATCAATCTCTGAAAAAGAGTTAATAGTTCTAAGAAATACACATTAAGCCACTGTAAGCACTAGATTACATACTTTTCAATTTCACTGCCCATTATTTCAGTATCTTTTTCAACTTCGGTTTCTAAAGAAGAAGCTGCAGCATTGAATTTTTTTTGTCTAATTCCTTGAAATGGTAAATCAAATTCAATACCTATAAAAAGAAAAAAGAATGATTTATGTCTTGGTTATGGACATGATTTTTTACATTGTTCATAACTTTTCTTTACCTTCATTTTTCATGGCTTCCCTTAATCCTCTAGTTGTGGGAGAAATTAATGCTGTGATCATATCACTTCCAGCTAGTCCTGCTGCACGGAACAGTACAGTGAATTGATAAGTGCAAACATAGAAATAGGGACATAACTTGGCTCTCAACAAGTTATAAAGAGAGGTAAAACTGAGAGACCTGCAAATTAAACAAACAAACAGAACGATCAACTTCCTGGTATAGGACAAGGAAACAACGTAAACCAGTTGTTTTAAGATGACACATGGATGTATTTCTGAGCAATAATGCAAATCTGACTATTATTTCACCTGAATTCAAAATTCCGGTGTTATTCTTCCTTTATTTCATTCAAATAATCAGTTTTTATCTAGTTTTCAGGCTACTTTGTATGTTATTCTGGGTTCTTTTCAGTTATATAGTACATTAAAAAAAAAATCAAAAAACCTACGTACAGTTCTTCTTTTACATCATTCAAATAAGTTGGAAGAAAATAAGAAGGGATTCACTGACTAATTTTGTCTTTTATTTTCTACATAGCCTATTTATTGTTTTCCTCTTTCTTCATCCAACTTCACTATTGTAAAAATAGAGAAAAATGAAATCCTGTAAGTGGTAATCCACACAATAATGTGATAATTATTGCATACATTAAAACAGTTTATTCTCATCATGGGAAAATTAAGTAGCTGTCTCACAGGCATTTGGAAAGTAACTTAATTAACTTAAATTATTCTTTGTCAATAAAGAAAGGCCTAATTTAATCTAATGGCTATGTATAGAGAAATTGATTATGGCACAGTGGTTAGACTGCAGTATTGCAGGCTAATTCTGCTGACTGCCGACTTGCCAGAGGTTCTGTAACCTGCTTAGAGAGAATTGTAAAGGAAAGTTCCCCAACATTTCCAGGTTGGTGGCCCGGAGCGGAGGAAGGGAGAAAGAGGGATGTTTTTATGGAAGGGGCAACAGCAGTGTCTGAACCCAAACAGATTTTGGTTAGGAGAAAGATTTCTATGCTTAGCTTTTTATATTTCCAAGAACTTCAACTTACCATTCATTCATGAACATTTGTTGGAGTTCTTCATTAAAGGCACAAGGATGATTTTTTCCAACCATTTTTCTGTCAGCGCCAATTCGAGGAAAAAGTGGTAGCCATGGGAAGAATGGGTGAAGCCAATATACTAGATTTTGTTGGAAAGCACATCGAAGTTCTGTGGAAAGTTTTGGCTCCTAAATATCAAAATATTATTTTTTAAAGGCTACTTTTAAGTTATTTACAGAATAAATAGGAAAATTGGAAAAGGATTTTTTAGAAAAGTTAATGTAAAAAAACAGAATAGATATTTTCCCACTTTTTCAAGGGATCAAAAAGCAATTCCTATTCCTAGTATTCTGTTTTAAGTCCATAAATGTTTATAATGTATAAAACAAACTTAAAATATTTAATATTTTTGCACCATGCCATAATCTGCAACCAATTCTACCTTAGTTTCAATTAATTTATACATAATAGAATTTATTTAAATAGCTTGCTTGTATTTAAATACCAATTATCCTGATAAAGGGACATAATAAAATAATTTGGAAATTTTGCCATGTTTCTTGTAAATCTACAGCTGGTCCATCATGAAGTAGAATATGCCATTCTTAAAGTTTAGCCTTTCTGTAGTTTTTATTTATGATGATTCAGAGCATTTTTTATAAGTAGATTTTATATCAAGGACAAAATATCTTACAGTGTACCAAAACATATTGGGAGAAGTTAACAATAGCTATTTTCTGAAAGAAAATATGAAGGCAACAATTATTCATACCTGTAGTATGTGAAAGTATTTGTGTGCCTTTTAAGACACATAGCAATATTATATTAGTAAAACTAACTTTAGATAACAATTTATTTAATATGTAGAAACTACTAATTTATTGTAACCACAATAATCATAAATCAATAAAAAGGTGACAAAGCAATATAGATTTAATTAAAAGTAACTGAAGAAATGGAACCTTAGCTGGTTTTTAAAAAAAGTATGTGTGCTGATGCCAACTGCAATTAAATAAAGAGTAAATATTTCCAAAATGTTATTTTAATATGAAATATGTATATATAATATATAACCTGATTGGTGACTTTGGGTCATTTACTCTTTCTCAGTTCAATTCACCTCAAAGGGTTTCTATTTTGGAGAACAAATGATGGGGAGGTGCTATATTAGGTATGTTTGCCACCTTAAGTTACTTATTAAGCAATAAAGGTAGGAAAATGAATAAATAAATGCTGGGCTTGCACATAAGGAAAAAGAAGGGTCTACACCAGTGTTTTTCAACCACTGTGCCGCGGCACACTAGTGTGCCGTGACATAGTGTAAGGTGTGCCGTGGGAAAAACACCTGCCTATAGTCAATATAGGCACAGAGTTAAATTTTTTAAACATTTTCTAATGGTGGTGTGCCTCGTGATTTTTTTCATGAAAAAAGTGTGCCTTTGCACAAAAAAGGTTGAAAAACACTGGTCTACACTATTGTAGATTTTATATGGTTAAAAAATAATTTTGCATTTCATTTGGCAGCAAGCTATCACCTAGTACAGTTTTTTTCCACACAGTGTAATCCACCCAAATTAAGTTTTCCATGAAGATGCAGCATTCTACATGGGCTGCATCATCTGAGATAACCTACATGTTATAGATGATGAATGTGAAGTTAACAGTATGTCAATTGCTATAAGAAATCTCTACTGTCCCAAAAATGCACAGTGGGGAAACTCCTTATCACAGAATCAATTTCTGAGACCATTAAAAAATGGCTTCTGGAGCAGTGCTATATTGTGTACTTAAGTTTTCAGAGGGTATGCAACTTCACACAAAATAGGTAATGTCTCTAGATCCCAGGCAAACATAATGCAGTATCTTGTCAGGATTCATTTCATGTCCAAATACTCAAGAAACTACATTGTCTTTTATGACTCAGATGATACAGAGAAATAGATCTGGCTGTCAACAAGTTACTGATGACATGTTGGCTCCTAATCAATATGCTCATAACTACATGTACTGTAGATGTTAAAAAGAACGAAAGATAGGTTGGAGTCTTGATGAATTCTATAACTTAATTGCCACAGAGCTGAGTATTAGTCATTTTGAGAATTGCTGAGCAGGCAAGAGCAGTGTTGTCTGAACCAACAAAGAATACAACACTATTGAGAAATTAGGAGAATCAACCCTTTCCCAAAACAGTTTATCATGGCAACTAAGATTTACTTAATCCCATACCCTGCCTAACCTATCCAAATTAAAATAGTTCCCAATGCTTATTTCCCCCCCCAAGAATGTAATAGCAGTAGACTTATATACCGCTTCATAGGGCTTTCAGCCCTCTCTAAGCGGTTTACAGAGAGTCAGCATATTGCCCCCAACAATCTGGGTCCTCATTTTACCCACCTCGGAAGGATGGAAGGCTGAGTCAACCCTGAGCCGGTGAGATTTGAACCACTGAACTGCTGATCTAGCAGTAGCCTGCAGTGCTGCATTTAACCACTGCGCCACCTTGGCTCTTGTATAAATCTGCCTGCTATTAGCATGATTTGAATCCTCCATAAGCAACTTATATTAATAACTGACTATATATATGTGTGTGTGTGTGTGTGTGTGTGTGTGTGTGTGTGTGTGTGTGTGTGATTCCAGGAACTGGTACAATTCGTTGAAACATAGGTATATTTCTCCATGATGTAACATCCTGAATATCATTGATAACTTGTTCTGACCCCCCCTTCTCCGTCCAGGAATGAAAGCCAAAAGTCACGTAACTAAAAAGGTTTCTTTTAATCAGTCTAAGCTCTTGTTGGCTGCAAGCCCAAATAAACAAAGATAATAGCTCCGGCAGAAAGTCCTATAACTCACACCCCAATGCAAACCCGGCTTCTCTTATCTCAACCCACTTATCCAAGTTGGCTTCTCTCAATTTGTGAATGCGAACAAAAACAATCACTAGAACAGGAAAGGAACATTGACTTCTGCAACCAGGGCGTGGCACCAGCAGTCTCTTTATACTCAGGAGAGGATCCCAATGAGCAACAGCTACTCACAATCATCTCCTGTAAGTACTCAGTTGTTCCTTCCGTCAAGTAAACCTTTGACGGGGTGCATCCTGCAACAACTCCCAAGTGTTTCCCTGAACACTCCCTCTGATCCAATCCTCTGCCGCCACCTGGTGGCCAACGGCTCCTGCCGGGCCACAACACTAACTCATCATTAAGGACACTTGACATCTCCCTCAGACTCACAGAATATTGAGAAATGCATTCATAAGCATTAAACATAGTACAGTTGAGAGATTTTATTATCTTGTTCACCAGATAGCTCTAAACGTTGAGAAACAGGCAGTAGAGGTGAATTAGAAAGATATGACTGGTCATTCAAATTTTAACGTGTTTAAAGTACTAAATATAACAATTCAAAATAAGTAAACCACTTGCAATTTGAATTAACTTTTATATCGATTACAGATTCCAATTCATTAATCCAACATTAAATAGCATAACCTACCTGGATACTTTGGGGTAAATTTATTAATGTTGCCCTACAATGCTGGATATATCCTTGGGATTCTTCTTGAGCTTTTAAGTGATCTGCCCATGCAAATGACTGAGAAGAAGTAACCAGCAGACGAGTTTTAATACTCCAGTCTGCAGGAAATTCAAAACTTGGTGAAGAAAGAACTTCCGTATCGGAAATGGCCAAAGAAGAGTCCTTAAAAAATTATAAATAAGCAATGAAGTCAATAAAATGCCATCAGTTAGGTGTACAAAGGAGCTTGTCCTACTTTTGCAAACATTAAGCATTATCATTTTAGTTCTGAATTTAGATTAGGCATGGCATTGATCTATAAATCTAGATCTAACTGCATAAGAAAAAGTTTCTGAAGTTCATAAAAGAAGCACACTTCAGTGCTGTGGTAGGTGTGGTGAGTGTACAGTACTCCTTTAAAGAAAAATGGACCTCTGAGGAGTCCTTAGTGCTCTCTGAGCTTAGTTATTAAGATATCTTTTAAAAGATATAATTAAAGTTGCAAAGTAACAAAGAAAGTAAGTTTTGTGTCTGATTATAAGAAAGCATGCATGGTTGCAAGGGGTCTCTTTATATCAGTGGTTCTCAACCTGTGGGTCGGGACCCCTTTGGGGGTCGAACGACCCTTTCACGGGGTTGCCTAAGACCATCGGAAAACACATATTTTCAAAAAAATACGGAAAACAAAAAATTTTATGGTTGGGGGTCACCACAACATGAGGAACCGTATTAAATTGTCCCGGTATTAGGAGGGTTGAGAACCACTGGTTTATATGAAGGGTGACTGGGTACAGTCTGTATGCAGAGCAGCACACAGGGGATATACAAGTACCAAGAGTAAACCCTGCACTATCAAATTATAAGCGTCTTTGTATTTCGAAAGTCTGAAATTAAAATGATACTTACTTTGATCAACGTTTCAGCAGTTGCTATTTCAGAAAGCTCATCCTTCAATGTGCACCCATCCTTGTCATGACTTTTTAAAGACTAAAAGAAAAAGAATGAATAAAACCTTATATTGCAGTTTGTAATCTAATACTATTGTCTGTATTAAATTTCATAAGAACATAAAGTTTCACATTCCTGCCCTGCAGCAAAAATGTACAAGATACGGAGACAGATGGTCACTATAGTGACAATGGCAAAGACATCTGCATGGGAGAAGGCAATGATAAACCATCCTTGGATTTTTACCAAGAAAACGAATAGAAAATAACATGATTGATGATATAGCGCCAGATGATGGATCCCTTGGATCGGATGGTACTCAACATTCTACTGAGAAAGTTGAGGATTTTTCAGAGTATTGATGGTGTTTAAGATATCCCACAGGCTTAATCTAGCCACATCTAGTTGCTGATGTTGCCATATAGGAAAAGAAAATCTGAAGGTGCAAAGAATGGTGGGAACATGGAACCTAAGAAACAGGAACATGGGAAAGTTCAGCAATTTGAAAAATTAAATGAATATAACTCATCATCCTAGGCATCAAAAAATCAAGATGGATTGGGATTGGACATTTTCAGTAAGAAGATCAGATTTATTAGTCAGGACATAAAAAACAAAGAATAGCACTGCTTTTATAGTTAAGGAGGGGACAACAGGAACAGCACTTCATTGCAATGCAATCAATTACTGAATATCTGTTAGACTTCATAAACAATTCTTTAAGGTGATGATCATTCACGTTTATGATTCAACCAACAATCCAGAAGAGGAAGTGGATGAATTTTATGATCAGGTTTGATTTGAAATAATCAGAACATGCAAGCAAAATGTGCTCCTTGTGATTGGAATATCTAAACTGGAAATACTAAAGAAGAAAATGTAGTTGTATTGGCTTTGGAATCCAGAATGAGGCAGGAGATTGACTTATCATTTTCTGCCACTCTAGTGAATTCTTCATAGAAATTCTATCCTCAAACAACTAAATCAACCCCCTATACATGGACATCACTAGATGGAATATGTAAAAATCACATTGATTATATTATTGCTAAAAGGAAGTGGAGGAGCTCAATTATAACATCAAAAAATTGGAGAGGTGCTGATTGTGGAACAAATCATGAACTTGTCATATGCAAGTTCAAATTAACGAAGAAAAAAAGAAAGGCAGACAGTTTTCACAATATTAACTTGAACATATTGTGTACATCCATCATTTTCATGGACAATATCAGGAAACTGAAGTTCTGAACCTGATTGATAGCAAACTTCAGATGAAGTGTGTAATGAAATTAAAGAAGTCATTAAAGATGAATGTGAAAAGAGATTTGACAAAAATAAAGAGAATAAAACAAACTGGATGTCAGAACAAACCGTGGAAATTGCTACAAAAAGAAGCCAAACTCACGAAAAACAAAAATCTCAGAAAGGAATTTAACAAGGAGTTTTGGAGAGCTATTAGAAGAGACAATGAGCAGCATTATAATATCTGTACAGGGACTGACACTGAAGAGGAAAGCAGATATGGAAAAATAAGGAAATGTGGGATCCTTGATGCTCTCTGAGTTTGTTTGTTTTCTTGCAGATGTTTCAATATCCTAAATAGGTAACATCATCAGTGCTAGTAAGGAATGCTATTTGCTGTCAGTATATATTTTGGTGATTTGCTTGTCTGTGTGGGCAGGGGTGGTCTTAAGAAATTCTTTGGTTGGGATGTTTACTGATGGCTCTTTGGCAGTTTCTTGATTGGGGTATTGCTTACTTGATTGTTGGTCTGAAGCTGACCTTGGAGTTAATCTATGCTGCTCTGAGTGCTGATTACTGATGGAGAAGTGCTGGAGTCTTTTTCTCTTTTGGGCTGGATGATTGTCTCTTTTGCATAGTCTATAAGTTAATGTTAATGTCTATGTGTCTATTGATGGCTGATTTGTTTTTCAAAAGGAGTTTCAATCTTGAATTGGTAGGCTAAAAGACGTCAATGGATAGTAATCAATTCAAAGGAAAGCAAACTAAATAGGAAATGTATATTAAAACATTGGACAGTAGAACTATCAGCATTCAAGGTATCTTAGAAGATATTTCCTACTTATAATAATCTCTAGCACTAGAAGATAAAGTTAGATAAACACTCCATTCATTATCACGCCAGAAGGCTACAAGAACTGATAGAATACCTACTGAAATAGATAGGCAAGCAATTGAAGATGATTCAGTCAAGATTCTAATCAAGCTTTGACAGTAAACCTGGAGAATAACACAATGGTCAGCAGGTTGGAAGACTTGCTCCAGCTTGGGAAAGAAGTGGAGTACGGCTTTCCCATTATGTATTCAATCTATATGCTGAATATATATTAAATAAGGATGGATTGGAAGATGAGTATGGTTTTAAAGTTGGAGGAAAAAATATCAATAACCTGTGCTATGCTAATGACACTACAGGTAGTCCTTGCCCATGCATTTATTTAGTACATTTGTTCAAAGTTACAACTTGGTGTACTTGGTTGGCACTTGGTGACCAACTCAAAATGAAAACATTGCAGTGTCCCTTGATCATATGACCACCATTTGTGACCTTCTCTGCCAGCTTCCTACAATGGGAAAGCTGGCAAGAGATCTCAAATGGGAATTACATGGTTGTGGGACATTTTGATCACACAGGATTTGCTTAATGATGGCAACAGGAACTGCCAGAACTGCCATCATAAGTTGCCACAATCATGTGAGTTTGTGGTTCCAATTATCATCAGTGGGGATTCCTTGTACTATAATAAATTAAAATGCAAAGGATGTGGAAGCTCTAATAAAATAGAATAATAAAAGTGAATAAAAGTAATAAAAGTTAAAGAGCAAAATGAAAAAAATGGTACTAATATTAAATACAATGAAGATCAAACTAATGACAACAGATAGAACACCCAGCCTTAAAATTAACAATAGAGATGTCAAAAAGATAGATAGCTTGTGTCTTTTAGGATCAACCAACAACAGTAAAGGAACAAGCAAGGGATCTTGGAGGTCTTTTAGTCCAATCCCTTGCTTAGGCAGGAAACCCTATACCATTTCAGACAAGTTGACCAATCTCTTCTTAAAAACTTCCAGTGTTGGAGCACCCACAACTTCCTGAGGCAAGCAAAAGGTATATAATTGAAACTACTTTCCACTATTAATGTATACATTCTGGAGTACTGTGAAGTGACACAAGAGGCAATAGATGACTATTTGTGTTAAATGGCCTGAAATAGAAACTCTGTGATTTATTTCAGGCCCCAAAAAGTTTAATAAAATGTTTTTCATCATCAGGCTTCTCTAAACATCATCTTTTGATTTCTCTAAAAATCAACAGTTGTTACAAGTTATTTTCAACTACTCTACCAATTGGACTTTTGTCCAATCTCTTTTTAAAAACTTCCAGTGTTGGAACATTCACAACTTCTGGAGGTAAGTTGTTCCACTGATTAATTGTTCTGTCATTTTCCTTCAAATTTAAAACTCATTTCAAGACCCACACCCTCTTATACCCATTTAATCTCAAAGTCCCATTTCTACCCCTTAGGCACAACAACGCGCTTGAATGATATGCAATTAGGCCTAACGCACATCGAAGGGTTGCAAACAGTGACGGCAGAGCCCAATTTACCTGCTTCTCGGTTCTGCTGAATACGTCATTCTTCGCCATTATCCACTCCACTCCTGCAAGTCTCTGGGCAGATGATTGAACCAGGCTGGGTTCCGGCAGAAGGCGAGGCGTGTTTCCCACGTTCGTGAAGGGGTTGCGCCGCCGACCCCCCGGACCGAGCCGAGGGGGAACAGGCGAGTCCTTGAGGGTTGCCACGGACGAAACCTCTCCGGGAAGCGCGACCATTTCGCTTCTCCGAGACCTCTTCCTCTTCAAGCGCAATATCTCCGGCGGCTTCTTGAAGCCGGGAGAATAATCGGGAACCACGGAACACATGTCGCTCGGTCGGTGGAGGTGGCTGGAAGGAGCCGAACAGACCAAAAATTCCGCGCTTAACTTGAAAGCCCCGCCTAGCAGCTGGGCGTCTTTTCTTTTACCCGCGGAAAAGGCAACCAATCCAAACTGAGCTCTTTCACGAGGACCGCCGCCCTTTTCCCCACTCACGCCCAGAGCAGCTTTTTCCCGCTATTAAAGCTCAAGATAGGCAAACAGAGCTCAGCTCGCAAGGGGAGAAGAGAATAACTGGAGACTTAACTGGTTCCTTTTTGCTTTTGAAAATTTGATTTTCATTACGAGATCCACTATTAAACACCCGGGACAAAAGACGAAGACTTTAGAATTGTAAATCTAAATCCATTTCAGCTCTCTACCAGGTATTAGTATTAGAATTGGATGTCCCTTGTCGATCTAGTAGAAATACATCTTTATCACCTATGATTCCTTAGTGCAGTATTTCTTAACCTCGGGCACTTTTAAAAGTGTGTGGACTTCTAGATTTGTGAATCATTCAGAGTTGCATAAGATGGGAGGCAATATAAATCTTTTACATAAATAATTCAATGCAATTTTTGACCATTGAATTAAAAAAAATAATATGCACTTAACCCAACTAATAAAATTGCACATAGCAAGCCCAGGTCTGTTATAGCATATGCCAAAATAAACATATTTATGTTACAGGTTTCTTCCTTGTTTGGTGCAATAATCTTGATTATTCTAGAATTATATATTTTAAGTATGATCAGAAATCAAATAAAACATTGTAGACTTAAACATTAGACATTTTGAAATTGCCTTTGGGGATAAGTATTGTATGTACTTCTGCATAAATAAATGCAGGTTTATCTCTCCAGATTCTAAACAATAGAACTTTAAAAGTAGATATTTGAAAACAATACAAATAATGAATCCAATTCTTTAAATCCGAATTGGAGAAATCTCTTTATTGTATTATGAAATGCTTTTCCAACTTTACTCAGGTTTATTTTAATGTGCCTTGCTCTTTGTAAATGAAACAGAAGTTTATGTGACAATTCTAATAAAGATAGAAACAAAATGTAATAAAAGAAAATTACAAAGTTACAATATGCTGCTCATAGTTTCCCATTTATGATGGAACATTAAAGAAAACATTCAGTCAAACCAAAAATCTAGACTTAAAGTCTTTTTTGAAAAATCTTGGCCGTCACTTCGATTCATAGTAAACTTGTCCTACTGATTTCATGCTTTGTCTAAACTTGGATCAAATATGTAGTTTTCCGTAACATCATAGGATTCTCCTTTTTTCATCTGAATGAGCATGCAGTCACCCCTCCCCTCAAAATAAAAAAGCCAAACAAAAGCAGTACACAATAGCCAAAGCTAAGTTCTATGGTTTTTTTAGACACATGAATTAGATCTAAGGTTACAAGGGACTCAACCTATAGTTATTAAAAACTGTTTCAGATATAGGCTGAAGACAATTGATAGACATTTAACAACTATGCATTAATATATTAACTTCACTTTTTACAGTTCAAATTGTAGAAACTTCATAGTTGGATAACTTGTTTTTTTCTTGCTTGATTCTTCTGAACTAATTCCATAGAAACTTTAGCTTCATATAATGGTAAAGGTTTATCCAGATGAGGTCTGAGAACAAAAACAAAAATTATAACAACAGCATTTATTTTTTGCTTTATCCATTACTTCACCCCCTAGCAATCTTTATAAAGTTTATAGATATTAAGACACCCGCCAAAGTATGAAAATACATAAAATTAAATTATTAAAATATTACTGGTGAGAGGAAATACAGTCTCCACAATTCTTCCTAAAGAGTCAAGTTTTTACCAGTTTTCAAAATGCCACAAGAATGGAGGCCATTCTTGCCCTGCAGGTTATGCTGTTAAAAAGGGAGCCCCAAAGAGAATGTCTGCCATCAAATCATATTCAACTGAAAATGTACACATACATTTCACAATTAAACCTGATTTCTGGAAAACTTTTATAGGCTGTCAAGATCTATGAATAGGCACATTGACTATGAACAAATGCAACTTCTAGAAAGGCAATTTTCCAGATAATTCATCCATCCTAAGTGGGTTTACTTATCATATGCCGTTTGTCCTAAGGAAAAAATATACATGGATGATTTTTTACAATTTTCAACAATTGGAAAAAGAAATGAGCCCAAAATAGCCTGCACAACTTGGGACATGCCAAGTAGCTTTGTGCAGCCTGTTTTTTTAAATAGTAATACATTTACAGGGACTGCCTCCCCAAAAGAATGTTTCTGTCCATCTCCAAACTTCATTGCCAACTCCAGCACTTTCACTGCTCCATTAGCTGCAAAACATTTCATCAGCACTCCATTTTGTGGCCAACAATTTTTAAAGTATCAATATGACCTTTGTGTGTTTTGCAGCCCTGAACTAGAATCTCTAGAGCTAATTAGGTCTAAACATTTTTATTATCATTTTCTCAACTTTTTAAAGCAGTTAATTGATAACATACTTAAATGAATATATTTTAAAATGCTTATAATTCTTCAAACATCAATTTATCCTTACTTGAAAACTCCGCTTGATAACTTCTCCATTACATCTTCCAAAATAGGTATAGAAGAGAATAGTCAAGTGAAACACTATAAAATGTTAGAGCTGTGCCAAGATCTGAGTTTGTAAGAGAAATGTGATCCATAATATATTTGGTCATGCAAACTGTACTCTCACAATCACCTTAAATAAAACACATGTCAGAGTAACTAGAGTACAAATTAACCTATCGAAGAACAATTAAGGAGGAATCTTTTTTCATTGAAATACAGGTAGTTCTCAACTTATGACAGGTCATTTAATGACTGTTCAAAGTTACAAAGATCCATAAAGCACTTCTGGCCACCATAAAACATCACACTAGCAAGTCATATTGTTGTGATCTTTGATTGGTGATTGGTGATTGTTTGTGTGTATAAATAGTTGCCAAGTATCCTGGGATCATGTGGTCGCCATTTGCAATCTTCTCTGCTAGCTCCTCAGAAAGACCAGAGAAGATGCAAACTGCTGTCACTAACTGATGGATTTCTCCTCCCCTCCATGGACACAGGAGAAGAAAATCCTTGGTTGGACTGCAGAAACGAAACTCAGATCTCGATAGCTCAATGCAAACTTTCCCTTCAAGATATGAAGGAGTGTAGTTCCTGAAGATCCAAGCTCCATTCCTGCAACCTGTTGGGAAGGTCTTTTATACACACAGAGGAGAGTTGCCTGCCCTCCTTCAATAGAAAGCTCAGTTGCGCCACCTGCTTAATAACCTGCGTGGTTGCTTAATGAATGCAATTGGGACAATTGTGATTGCAGTTGTTGAACAAAGCAGTCAAGTGACTATCTCACTGAATAAACACTTTTGCTCAACACTAAGATGCCTATCCCAATTTTGGTTGTAAGCTGAGCATCTGTACTAGTGTTCAGTGAGCAACAAGGCTTCCAGGGAGGTGGAGTGGAGAGAGAAAGCAATTATTATATTGTTTCTAACCTGCATTTAAATGCTTTCACTGAACATGTATTCCTATGCTTTAGGACAGTGGTTCCCAAACTTGGCAACTTTAAGACTTGTGGACTTCAACTCCCAGAGCTGGCTGGAGAATTCTGGGAGTTGAAGTCCACAAGTCTTAAAGTTGCCAAGTTTGGGAACCACTGATTTAGGAGAACCCACTAGTCCAATGCCTCCCAAAGCTTTCCAAAACTGACCAATATTTAGGTTTGATCGATGTTTGGAGGTGTTAAAAAATGCCTTGATTTTACAACTATTTTTATTCTGGTTGTTAATTGAATCTTATGGTCGCTAAATGAATCACATAATCATTAAGCAAATCCAGCTTCCTTAGTTTGCTTTTCAGAAGCCAGCTGGGAAGATTTCAAGTTTTGTTGTAAGTGAAACAATTTGCCAAGTGCCCAAATCAGAGGTGGGTTGCTAATTTTTTTACTACTGGCTCTGGTGCGCGCAGAAGTGTCCAGGCGGGTGGGCGGAGCCTCCTACTACTCCTGCTCCTGCTACTACCGATTCGGCCAAACCAGCAGCAACCCACCTCTGGCCCAAATAGTGATTATGTGACCTCAGCGATGGTGCACTCATAACTTTGAGGATAAGTTGTAGACCAATGTTTCCAAGGCTGCCATAACTTTAAACTGTTGTTAAATGAATGCTCATAAGTCAAGGAGTGCCACTTGGTTTGTATGCAATTCAATTTTTTTACTCCCACCCTTAAAGGCTTTTGTGTCTTTGAGGGTGGATACCTAGGGGACCACTTTTCTCTTATTCTTCCTGCCCGGCCAGTAATATTTGGCAAAGACAGCATGCTCTGGATCCCCTCAACAAAGGAATCATGTTCTGAGACTCAAGAGATGTCTTTCTGCAGCCCTCTCTGCCAGCAAAATATGGACACTAACCTCAAAATTGATACAAAATATATAAGTACTATGATACATAAATACAATCAACATTATATAATAAAAAGGATATATAGATATTTTCCTTGTTGCATACTTGACAAATTCCAAATTTCCTCATTCAGAAAAGAAACTGAAGCACCTTTCAGGAAAAGATATCGACAATCTGGAGGATCCAACTTTAAAAAAAGGGATAAATAGTGAAGCTATATTACTTTAGAATAAAAATAGCATAAACAAAGAACATTAGTTGGAGGTTAACAAAAGTTTTTGCCAAGAGAAAATATCATTTTCTATATTATCTACATTATTACTGTATTTATTCAAAAAAGATAAGACTAGGATGACATACGGTGCATTCCAGATATTAGAATTTCAACTTCCATATTATCGGGAATTTTATGCAAATTAAAGTCCAATGCAGCAGGAAAATATCAGACTGGGAAAGGCTGTTCTAACTAGAATTGTTTCAGAAGTTTCTTCTTACCTGAAGATTTTTTTCAGTCGTAATCCAGTGCCCTGCAGCACTAAGTAACGTAATGATGTCATGCTTGTGGGGTAGCAATTGTTGTGAAGTTGTTTCATTGTCTTTATCATGCAGTCTCACTAAAAACAAATTAAAAACACTTTCTAAAAATGGAAGATGAGCAAGAACTGAAAAGATGTGCCTATCAATAAATTCATATTTTTTTCAGGATTTGGTTTTTCTTTGTACTACATTAACCTTGTCTTTTTGTTACTCTACCAGGCTCAAATTATTATATTTCTGACACATATATGAAGACATGTCACTCATTTGAGTGAGTCTCAGTATTTTGCCATAAAAAGTATACTTGTTCCAATAATTTGAAAACTGATAGATGAATAAATATTCATAGCTTGAAATATATATCCATATAAGCATTTCATTTTTTCCCCCATTTTATTAGCATTTATAGGCCGCCCTTTTCCCTGAGGGGACTCAGGGCGGCTTACAATGATAGGGGAGGGGAGTGCAGGACAAAACGCAAAAAGAAAATGTGAATAAAAATAATTAGCAATAAAAACCCAACATTCATTCAACATTCGGGAGGGGCGAGAATAAAGTCTTATCCCCAGGCCTGACGGGATAGCCAGACCTTGAGGGCTGTGCGGAAGGCCTGGACGGTGGTGAGGGTGCGGATCTCCACGGGGAGATTGTTCCATAGCGTCGGGGCTGCAACTGAGAAGGCTCTCTTCCGCGTTTTCAGTCTATGCTGCTAGTATATAACCTGCTCTGAGGTGCCACTGGTACAAAATGCCTTTTTAAATACTGTTTTCCCAAAAAGATTTTGTGTTTTTTCATGGCTTATAATAAAATATCACGGTCAAAGGGCAAAAACCACAGGAGTGAACTAGTTTAATTATCTTGGCAATATCCTGTGATTATTGCTACAGTAATTAACTGCAGAATAGCAAAGGCTAGCTCTGCTTTCAGAAGATTGTGCTCTACTGCAGTGGTCTCCAACCTTGGCAACTTTAAGACTTGTGGACTTCAACTCCCAGAGCAAAGCTGGCTGAGGAACTCTGGGAGTTGAAGTCCACAGGTCTTAAAGTTGCCAAGGTTGGAGACCACTGCTCTACTGTATCGAGCTTACGAAACAAGGCACAATGGTGGAGCATAACATAAGCATGAGCTATGTACAACCAGGCATGCCTGTCCAAATATGCAAAAACATTCTGTCCTGAATTGGCCTGATTGGTTGCCTTCAGCCACACCATATTTAATCTTTGATCCTTGCACAATCAACCGATCTTAATCATGGGTGGGTTCCTGCCAGTTCTAACCTCTTCTATTGGAGAGGTTCCACAAATCTACAGTGCCATTTAGAACTGGTTCCAGCTCCCTCCCCCTGTCCGTCTGCACATCATCTAGATGAAGAGCGAGAGGAGGAATTCTGGGAGTTGAAGTCTACAAGTCTTAAAGCTGTCAAGTTTGAACACCCCTGGGTGTTTTCTTTTCTAAAGGGTTAGAGGTGCAAGGGTCTTGTAACTTGACAGCTTTAAGACTTGCGTGCTTCAATGCCAGAGTTCCTGAGCCAACATGACTGGAGGAGGGATTCTGGGAGTTGAAGTCCACAAGTCTTAAAGCTGTCAAGTTTGAACATCCCTGGGTGTTTTTTTCTAAAGGGTTAGAGGTGCAAGGGTCTTGTAACTTGACAGCTTTAAGACTTGCGTGCTTCAAATGCCAGAGCTTCTGAGCCAACATTTTGGTTGCTAAGCAAGAGCATTGTTAAATGAGTTTCACCACATTTTACAAGTTGGCCATGCCCATCCAGTCACATGGCTGGCAAGCCTCTCCCACTCGATCACATGGCTGGCAAGCCACTCCCACAAAGCAGGCCACCCCTACATAAGAGGTTCTAAAAAAATTGAAACCCACCACTGACCTGTAGTTATATTTACAATTATGGCTCTAATTGTATTATTTCATTATGCAATCTAGTCTATTCTACTTCTATTCCTAGAAAGATTATTTTATTACTTTAATTTGCAGTTAACACTGGAAAAACATGCAATTCATCCCCAAATGTACAAGCAATAATCCAAAACATTGTAACATGGGCTCTTAAAATTTGCAATGCTGTTTAAAAGATTCAGAGAAGGGGAATATTTTCACTTGGCAATTAATGAAATTTTCTCGAAGAGTATTTCATAGATGGGGAATCACAAATCAGCAGGCCCTTTCCTTTAGTGACTTACCATCATTTGGCAAAGACATTCAAAGAACCTTCAAGAATGATATTTAAATCCAAGATACTTAAATTGGAGAGAAGGACCATTGACTTACCTGAAAGGTCAGGGTGCTGCGAAGGAGAGTTCAAGCAAGGGTTAAATACAGCCAAACTGCCCAGAACTGAATTGAAACTTTAAGCCACACCTCTGGTGCTGATTATCTTCAGATTTTTTCAATGAAGACGTGGAACTATTGCGCGCTGAGAAGTCCAAAAAACGAATTTGAATACACTTTCAATAACAAAACATGTCCAACAGGAAACTGTCAACTCGACTAGGAACAGCGGAGCCAGACCCCTGGGTGGGGTGGACTCTCCTTCGCAGCGCCCTGAAAACGACCCTTCAGGTAAGTCAATGGTCCTTTTCCAAGGTGCTGCTCAGGAGAGTCCAAGCAAGGGACATACCCAAGCTAAATGTCATTAAGGCGGGAAGCAGAAGCAGTCAGGGTCTCTCTGCATATAAACCCCCAGGGAGGCACGGGCTCCAGATCCCTGATGTTGGAGGCTGAATAGGTAGACTGAGACTCTTGGGAGACAGAAGCCGCTCTGGGAGCCACCGGGGGCTCCACATGTCGGGTCTTGCAAGTGCGCTTGCCCCTCTGCTGCATGCCTGCCTCGATACCTTGAGAAATGGCCCTATTAATGACCTCCTGCATCTCTGCTGAGAGATCGGGTCCCCGATCCTCAACAGGGCGCACCCTGGGATTTGGCCTGGGGTGTGGATCCTGCGGTGCCAAGGGTCCCAAGACTGACTCCTCCTCCAGGTCCGAAGGGCATGCAAACAGGCCAGCCTGGTCCACCATAGACACACCAGGGGAAACTCCCATGGTCAAGGAATCCAGGGGAGAAAATTCCTGGCCTTCCTCATCACTGTCGGAAATAGGATGGGTTTGAGCAGGAGGGACTCCCAAGGAGGGCTCCTCAGGAGACACCAGTTGAGAGGCTTGGGTTTGCTGTTGGGCCTTGGAGAAGTCTTTTTCAAGAGCCTTCTGGCGGCGCAAGGTATCCTTATGAGGCCCCGATCCCTGCTTAGACCCAGGTCTGGCATAGGGTTTGGAACTCCTAATAGCCTCCGTGGCAGCCATGACTGCCTGCCTACAAAAGGCCTTGGAGGAGACCTCTGACTGGCCAGGTTCCTCTGGAATCTGATCTGCCATGGCACTAACTCAATCCAATAGGTTAAGGGGCACCCCCATTCACCACCTCACAAAGGCCCACCGTCGACCAGAGTGCTCACAGGAGAGGCACAGAAAGGCGAAGGACCAAAGACAATGTGGGAAGCATGAGCGATCTCAGCTCCCAGCGCCCACAGGAATAACAATTAGTGACCCAGGGGGCCTCAAATCTCAGCCACTGCAAGTGAAAGGCTTTGGAGGTAAATTGCCAGCCATAGCTCCGCGTGGCTCCTGTGTCAGGCTTCAGGCAGCTGCGGCATGTGTGAGGAGATTGAAAGCGAAACTGGCAGATCAGGAAAAATGGCAGGTGGATTCTTTTCCCGCCGCGCCTGCCCTTTAACTAGCTGGCTGGGTAAATGAGCGCCCGGAGAAGCCATGCCGAACACCGGCTTCAAAAGCACGGATGACAGCCCACGGAGCTCTCTGCAGGGGATTTAACTGTAGCAGGGTTGCTGCGGCAGCGCTGGTGTCGGCACTCCGACCCACGCGCCCCCCCAACAGCTGCCTGTGTCCCCCCCCCCCCGTGGTGCCTAAGGTATCCAGGACACCAGGAGGACTGAAATGGAGAGAATGGCCAATTAAATTAATTAAAGAGACCTCTTTTGTTTTGCTCTCCAAGCCTGCTCCAATACAATCAAATTTAAACTACTTCCAGATAAAGAGAGTCCAAGCAATAGCAATAGCAATAGCAGTTAGACTTATATACTGCTTCATAGGGCTTTCAGCCCTCTCTAAGCGGTTTACAGAGTCGGCATATTGCCCCCACAATCTGGGTCCTCATTTTACCCACCTCGGAAGGATGGAAGGCTGAGTAAACCCTGAGCTGGTGAGATTTGAACCGCCGAGTTGCAGAACTAGCAGTCAGCTGAAGTGGCTGCAGTACTGCACCCTAACCACTGCGCCACCTCGGCTCTAAAGCAAGTAATAGAAATTAAGAGAAACTCTAAGCGTGTCCACTGGGCTAGCTGAATTGAAAAAAAACGGAAGTTAATCAGCACCAGAGGCGTGGCTTAAAGTTTCAATTCAGTTCTGGGCAGTTTGGCCGTATTTAACTCTTGCTTGGACTCCCCTGAGCAGCGCCCTGGAAAATTCATTTCTCCAGATACTTTGGTCTCACTGAATGCTCAACATTTTCTAAAGCAAAATTGAAACTTAGTAGACATATTCTGAATTAACTGAAGCTTAATATCATTTTCAAAGAGAGATCCATGAACAAACATTGAGCAAAACAACTGCTATACTGGAGGATATAGTTTTACAATAAAACCATAATTTGTTTACATAATTTAATAAATTTGGAAGTATTTTCTGAAACAGAGTTTTGGAATAATTACAGACCTCCTGCATCAATGATGATATCCACTCCTAATCCACCTGTCTCCTCTAAACAACTTTCTGTCAGGTCATATTTTCCATTCGAGACATCTATAATCCGAACTGAATGGGTAGGAAGATAAAATACAATAAATATTTAGGCATACACTATATTGCCAAAAGTATTCGCTCACAACCGAGTCTGATTATGTGGATGGGTGAGCGAATACTTTTGCCAAAATATTGTATGTTGTTTTAAAAATCAATCCAAATATCAATATATGTAAAAAAAACAAAAAACACTTCATTTCTTTAAAAAGATTTATAATTACTGTAGGTAGGGAATAACCAGTTATCAAAAATTTAGGGCTGCTCCTTCTCATCACAGTAAACATACACCTCCCAGACAAAAATTGAATATCCTTGCTCTACTGTGTTCTTTGGGGTTTCCTGATTTTTTTATATGCTATTTGGGAAGCATATAAAGGAGTTTCAAGGAGAAATCAGTAATGGGGAAAGAAGGCGGGGCTTAGCAGTGAGAAGATGGAGTTTTAGGCTACTCCTGAAATTCCTCTATACCAAAGGATTTTTG